CTTCCTGGATGGAGTAAGGGGCAGGCATTTGTAAATGGATTTAATGTAGGTCGTTATTGGCCTGTAGTTGGCCCACAACAGACTCTGTTTGTGCCTGCAAACGTGCTGTCACTCAAGGGGAATCCAGCCAGTATAGTGTTACTGGAGTTGGATAGTTCTCCCTGTGTAAATCCAAAGACATGTTTCGTAAAATTTGTTGCAGAGCCATTAATAAATGGACCAGTTCATCCTATAGGCGGTCACCCCTGAGTTAGCGAAAGAAATCAGAATGATTAAGATAAAGAGTTCCCCTTGCGCTACTGATCTGACACCAAAACTAATGCCAGTAATTTGTATTTTATTTTAATAGCATAGCCTAGACAAAACTCTTTAATTCTCCAAAGTATTACTCTCGCACGTCGCTGGCATCATCGTTAATGGTATTGCCAATTTCCGAGAGTTTTTCCGAGATGGGTGTGCCATGGGCACCTAATCTTGTACCCAGATCTTCCGTGTAAGACAGAGCCGGTAAGATCTGGGTAGAAGATTAGGGGGCAACTTCTTGCAATAAATTTGACGATAAGAATCAAAATGTATTAGTGCCATGGAAACTGAGTCGGTTCCTGGTCGAAAATAGACACAACATCATGTAGTACTTTACAGTATATAATTTACTGATCATAAATCAGACCTCATCACTGATAATAGTCAGTTTGAAAAAAAAGAGTTAGATGCAAAGCGAACATTGAATTAATTGAACATTGACGTGTAAAACAAATTAGAAAACTAAACTGAAATATATAAAATGATCTTATAATTTGATTTGTGTGTTTGCTTACTTGTCTTCTCCATGACCAGCGGCGATATTTCAAACTCAGAGGGCCTGTGCACATAGATCCCTGTTTCTCGATCATGGTTATTTCTTGGCGTCTGTTTACACCGCTTAGAACTTTAACTCACTATATATATATAGTGTTCAAACCGTGAACCAACTGAAGTTTCCCCATTCAGAATGTAAAGAGAAGGCAGTTTTGCCATAGATATGTTTGTCTGCTGCGGGAGTAAAGGTGAAATACGCTATCGTCAATCGCTCTGAAACTTCCAAAAACTGGGCGAAATCAGTCCCTTGACGTTATCACCAGTTCGCCGAAAGGTATGGGCTCATAGACGCACAATATTTGCCAGGAATTTAATATATTAACTAACAATGAAAAACTTTATTGAAGTCAGCATTTTGTGACCACTAAACCCACGGTTTTCTTTCAAATAATTTGCAGATGATGAGTGAACAGGATCTAGCAAAGAACCTGTACGAGAAAATAAAACTGTGAAATCAGAAAAGCGAGCTGATAGAGTGTACAGCTGAGCTTCACCAAGAGACCATAAAAGTGCCCATCAGTTCCCGAGTGTTCTTAATATTCCTTATAAGACTCCACAGAGGGAATAAAGTCTTAAAAAAGGGGAAAAAAGGTGCGCGCTCGTATTGATGAAGTTAGCCCAAGTGCTGATACATCTCAAGAGAGAATTATTCTTTGTTGAAAACTCGATGAAACCGCTTGACTTACAGCACGTTAAAAAATCAATACGATCAAGAAAGGATAGACCGGCTTTATCCTCAACAATGCACGAATAGCGCAGACCCAATTGCTTGTTCAGTGGATTTGATTTATCGGGATATCGCACGCATGGCAGGCTTAACAAGGCTAGCGGCGAAACTGAGCGTCTTGATCTAAGATGGGAAGTCCACATTGATCCAGAATGCTTAAAAGAGACAAAAAGGCTGTCTCAGTATACGGCTAAGTGCTGTTCAAACGTTTTTTACATGGCTGAATCCGCGAGTGGAGGGGGAAAGATGAAGCAAATCCTGTGTTCGCTGGCGTTGTTCCCGCGAGAAAAAGTTCTCTTTTGGGCATATTAAAAATCCTTTTATGACCGCGGTTTTACGGTCAAGATGGCTAAATTATATTGACCTCCTTCTTTTCAAGCGTTTTGACCTCGACTTCGTCTCGGTCCATAAAAACGAAGAAACGAACTTAGTCAACATTTAGCCATCTTGACCAAACGTTGGTTAAGCGTCACATTGTATGTTAGAAACTTTGCATTGTGGGACGTGGTTACCATGGTACAGTAGTAGTCTCAAAGGTTTTCCATGCACTCTTTCCAGTTATCAGGAAATGTTATGCCATTTGTTCTAAAAATAAACTACTAAGATCGGACGTCACTGGCTAGTATTTAATTAGCTGTAAATACCGCATTGAATCAATAAAAAATGGACTGTTACTTGTATCCGTAAGCTTCTGTATGGGTTTACGGTCATCTTGCCACCAACGAAATCAATGGTTTGGTGGTGAGGTGACCAGATAACGCACCCTTTCTTTGATCCACTACTTTGACTAAACTGGATTTTGCCGTGAAGGACCATCATACCTTTAAGATTAATAGAAACGCAAAGCCAGCTTATGCATAAAAAATTATTTCAGTAACTTATGGATTCGTTTTCTCGCAAGGTCTACCTTGTATACTAGTATGTAACAAAAACAAAAAACAAAACCTGCTGCATATTTGATTTCCTCACTCATGGTCACTGGCAGGCTGTCTTCTGCATTTTTTCATATTAATGGTGAAAATCATTGCAGAGTGTTTTTCAGAAAAAAATATGGCATTCATTCATTTTGATATGGGGTGAACAGTTCCATTTATAGATGGAGTTGACACAAATTCAACATAACAAGATTCTGGAAGTTCACATGGAGCACCATCCAACTCAAATATCAGAACACTGGCAGTTTTCTGCTTGAGTGATATTACATTTGCTGGTACAAACAGAGTGATTTGTGGACCAATCACAGGCCAGTAGCGACCCAAATTAAAACCATTTACAAATGCTTGCCCTTTACTCCATCCAGGCAGGTGGAGAAATGTGTCGTATGAGGAATTTACAGGAAATTCTCCATAGAAAAAAGAAGGAGCAAAATCATAATCCTTGTTAGCTAAACCACTAATATTTTTATCAGGATTCCAAGGAAAGTCAAAAGCACCTGAAAACAGATTATCTAAGTTAACAGAATAAATCTGCCAGTTCATAAGGACTTTACCATTTAAGGTAATATTTCCCAGGATTCCTTTAGGCTCCGCCAGACCACCATTGCATCTACCCATATTCTCAACTAGAACATCAAGCTGTAAAAAGATCCCAATGTTCAGAACAACAGCTTGATCTCCAGGATGACGGAACAATACCGCTTTGCGAATTTTTCCTACAAAAATAATGGCCCGGTCACGTGCTAAACTACTGATATTTAAGACAACAGTTGACTGAGCAAACTCTACAGGAATTTCTGTTTGGTAAAGAATGAATCCATAGCTTTGTCCAAGGTTTTCCATGGTCAAAGGAAATGTTGAATTCACGGGGCCATGAGGAGCAGAAAGCTTTGGCACAGCATCAAGGAAGGTTGAAATTTGGGTCATTTGAACTTTACCGTATGCAAACTTTGTGGTGTTTGGTGGGATGGGAATCTCAGGTATTTTCTCATACTTGGAAATTATCTCTCGCAAAATGTGAAACTTTGTGGTTGTATCACCAGCTTCTGTCAAAGGAGCATCATAATCATAGCTTGTAATACTCGGCAATAAACCTTTTACTTGATCGTACCCTGCACCATTCATGAAACCAAAGTTTGTACCTCCCATGTACATGTAAAAGTTGACAGACGCATTCATTGATAACATCTTGTCAAATGTCTTAGCAACAATTTCTGCAGACCTTGTTTGATGAGGTACACTCCACACATCTAGCCACCCTGGGTAAAATTCAGTGTTTACAAGTGGCCCCCTGGGGGAGTATTTTCTCATAACTGAAAATGCTTTTTCTGGGTCGGTTTTAGAACCAAAATCTATTGTGGCATATAGAGAGGGGATAGAGCCACACTTTAAAAGGGACTCGCTGTCACCATCTACAGTAAACAGAATTACGTCATTACCAAGGTGTTCACGGAAAACCTGTTCGAGAAACTGTAGATATGCGTGATCACAGGCAAAATAATATCCATATTCATTTTCAACTTGGACAGATATGATGGGTCCTCCATTCGAGTAAAGCAATGGCTTGAGTTTTGGTAAAAGTGCGCTCATCCAGGACTCAACATAGAACAGGTATTCCTTATTGTCCGTCGATCTTAAAATGATCGACGAATTTTTCTTTAACAACCAAGGGGGATACCCGCCAAACTCCCATTCTGCACAAATATAAGGACCAGCTCGGATGATGACCAGAAGCCCGAGGTTGTTCGCCATTTCAATAAAACTCACAAGGTCTGCATCACCCTCAAAGTTGAACTGTCCATGAACTGGTTCGTGAATATTCCAAGCGATGTAAGTCTGGACCGCGTTCAAACCGCCTGCTTTCATTTTCATGAGCCTGTCTTTCCAATGGAAACGGGGCACCCTGAAGTAATGGAAGCATCCAGAAATGTAACGAAAAGGTTTGCCATCTTTGAGAAAACAGTTGTTCTCGTAATCTATAACGAAAGATCGTGCCTCGGAGTACTGTGACGTGCACAGGAAGGTTATTAAAACAAGGAGAAGGGTAACAATGACAGCCATGTTGGTTCTCGCAATGACTGGTTTGCATCTGTCACGCAATTGCAGGTCCCCTCATCAGTAACGTGTGCGCACCAGGCTCTCAGATAGCAGGGACGTCGCGAAAATACAGGCTACTGAATCTGTAGCAATCAAAAGGGGCGTATCCAGAAAAGATACAGAAATGGTAGACACCTGTACACTTGCTATAAGGTATACAGATGCTATACGGTATATCCTACTGCGAATTTTCAAGGAGAAACAAAAGTAAAATGTTGTGCCAATCCGCCGGATAATACAAATCCCATGATTGGCTAATAGACCAGATCGGGTCCAGTCTTTCACGGAGCACAAGCCATGTGTCGTTCCTTTTGACCATTCAATTTCATCCACGCGTCCAATTTTGAATTTCTCTCTGTCCTTATTTTAGCGGCTTGGCTCCTCAACGGTTTTACTCCGAACCTAAAATTCTATAAACCTTCGACTAGGCCTCGAAATATTAATCGTAGCAAAACTGTTTTTCATTATGAGGCCTAAATTGTTGGTGTGTGTAGGACTTGTAGCACTTCTTTGTACTTTGTCATCAGCTGAAGACGTCAATGAACCTGACGAAGATGATGTTGAAATAGATAGTGAAAATGAGCCAGAAGATAAGGTAAGAAATGGAAAGTATTACTTTTGATTGCTTCAAATTTGCCGGTATCGCTGACTTTGTTCTATTTTTACCGTTTTACAGGGCAAAGAGAAAAAGAAAGCGGCCGAAACTGAAGCGTATCAACCCCCAGAAATCGCTTTAGAGCATGAAGATTCTGTTTTTCTTGCGGAACCATTTGCAAAGCGGCAGGAATTCGAAAGCAGGTATTAAAAGCTAAACTTCAAATTCTTTACCGGCTTATGTTCATTTAGTTTTGCAGTGTGCGTGTTTTTTAGTTTGCACAGTGACAAGCCTTTTTCTGGTACGCGGTGCACATGTGTGTAAATAGGCTCTGGTTTTGACAGAACACTCCTGCAGGTTGAAGCATATTTTGCAAGCGTTGAAAATACATATTTTGTCTCTTTTACTAACTATAACCCTATGTTGTCTTTCAATTCCTACAGCATAAATGAATTTATTTTCAGCAAAGATTCTCAACAACTCTGTGATGTTGCATGTGGAAGTTTGAAAGAAGTTCATCTTTTCTTTACTATGTCCCACCCTAAATAACATCATCTTTCTTCCACTAAATTTCCACCTATTTTTTGTTGTTGAGTAATTTGGAATTATGTCAAAAAGTTTGTCCCTCTGAAGGACTAAGATTAAAGGGTAAAATACCCTTTTAAAGTGCAACAGGTGTAGATGCTAGCTATGTAGATCCTCAGGTGATCTGTTAGACATTGTTGTTGCATATGTTCAGGCAAATAGTTCATGTAGCTCAGCAATAATTTAGGTGACAAAAGGGTGTTATAGTGTTTTTTTACATACTAAACAGTAGTCTTCATCACGTGTGGCCTAAAGGCTTGTCATGCCATCTCCTTAAGTCCATCAAGCAATAATATTACTCGCTATGACTGCTCTGCACAGCATTAGAGAATGCATATAATAAAGCAGGTTTTTTCCTTTTAAGAGAAGTCACCAATGGAGGCAGTTTTGCTGTAAAAATGGTCCACTATCCATTGACCTTCTCTCACAAGCCTAGACGTTAGAATGGCCATTTGTCGTAACAAAAATACTGCTTGGGAGGTTTTCCTGATGGTTATAAAACTCTGTTTGCTGGTGTTAAGACTTCCAAGTAAATGTCCTTGCTGTTGTACAATTAATGTTAAACACACTGTTTATAGCTTTGTGACTTAACATATGTTCATTTTGTTTAATATTTTCAGATGGCAGAAATCTGAGGCTAAAAAGGATGGAGTGGATGCTGAAATTTCCAAATATGATGGTAAGTCGCTGTTAGATTGAAGTATCTGTCACTGTAAGTTATTCCATCTTTTGAATCATATGTTTTGAGTGACAGCAACAAAAAAATTCTTTTAATAGTAGTTTGTTTCCAAGGAAGCAGGAGCAAAAAAAACTCCTTCTCCAGATAATGACTTTTTGGTAATCAATCCACTATAACAATTTTTGTACTGAATCACTATCATTTTTACTCTCCAGATTATTTTTCCTATCCCTCCTTTGTAAAAAAAAAAAAAAAAATGATAAAACCTTGTAGTGCCAATTTCCACCCTGGCAACTGGTGGCTTAGCAACATGAAAGCAGACATAACCTCATACTCCTACAACCTGCTGTTTTTGTCCTGTTTTCCCTTGTATTTTATTGCTCACCGTAGAGCCTCCAGGACCCTGAGGGTTGTGGGTTCGACTCTTACCTGGAGTTCAGAATTTTTTCTGACCTTTCTGGTGTTCGAATTCTCCTTCTTCCAAATTCTCATGCAACAAATCTGAAACAATGATTTCATTAGGCTTTGGCAAATCCTAATATCACTATCACTCAGGTGAAAACAAAATTGATCTTACTATGGTTGCGGTATTAACTTGTACTTTTGTATCTTTATTCAAACCTTAAAATTGTTTTTATTCCTCTGTCAGGTGAATGGTCGTTTGAGGAGCCATCAACTAAGTTATTCACTGGAGACATTGGACTGGTTCTCAAGGTAGTTATAAGTTATTTATTTATTTTGCTGATTTGCAGCTGACATCACGGCAGCAATGCTGGTGGACAAAAACAAAAGCATTTCCCTTCACTGGGATCTAAATTTTTTTTTCATTCAAATGAACCCAACTTTTTTTATTATTCTCTCACCAACATGGCAGCCTTGCCACATGGCTGCAAACCAGGATTAAGGCTGTACCCTGTAAGGTTTCAAGTTGTGGGGTATCTGATGTTAGTAGACAGGGAATTGAATGGCTAGGAAATTCTTTTGGTTGTATGAAAGTAGCCTGGGGTCTTGCTCATAACAGCCAGTGGAAACCCAGTCATCAGCGACATCCTTACTTTTTCCATCAACCAATATTTTTGTGCCTGGCAACCATTTGTGAATGTTGGTGAGAAAAAGGCGAGTTGAGCTTGGAGTGCTGATAATGATGTGACATGGAATGCAATAATGAAAAGGGAATTTTATTCTTTGTCTTTTTTTAGTCCAAGGCAAGACACCATGCAATTTCATCATTGCTGAAGAAACCATTTGAGTTTAAGGACAAGCCACTTGTGGTACAGTAAGTGCAAGATAATAATTTATTATTATTAAACTATAATAATTATTTGTATAATATTAATGTCAGGGAATGTTAAATGCATTGTAATATTATTTTGTTTTGGGAAGGCTATTTGTGTATTTTTAACTGGAGTTTGGCAGGGCTGTCACTAAGATTTCAAGTTGGATTGATTAGGCGGAAAATAGCTAGGGGATCAGGCTCATAGTCACCAGGAGAAATCGGTAGCCCCTTGCCTGTAGTAACAGCCCATGTCAGGAGGGAGTCCTGTAATGTAAGAAAAATCTTCCCCTTTCTTTATTCTTTGATTTGTGTCTTTGGTGTTCAAATATTGAAGAAGTCATTAAATATATTTTTTAAGATATGAAGTGAAATTTCAGCAAGCAATGGAATGTGGTGGTGCCTATGTCAAGCTCCTTTCAAAACATGATGCACTTCAGTTGGTAAGTGTTTTTAATTTACAACTATGAATATTATTACTATAAGTAGGTATGATATTATGATCATCTGAGTGTGTGTAGTCATGAATAGGACTGTTGGTGATAATTAATTTAAATTTTGTGACATTTGATAAATCCATTGTTAGATACAAAGCAACTGTAGACCTCGGTTTAAGAGATCTTTGGATCCCCAGATCTCTTCTTTAGTGGGTCAATTAAAGAAGATAAATGCCTTTCTAGTCTACAGCATAATTTATGCTTTTATGAAACTGTTCATGACAAATCATGAAATGGTGTTTAGATAAAAGCGTCAGGCAAACTGAAAATGACTTAGAACACGGTCTTGTTAAAGACTGGTTAAACTCTGTTTAACTAACCTGCCCTTTCAGTTTACAGTTTTTTTAGAACATAGCAGCAACTAAAATTTATGGCATAGTAACTGAAATTGTTGGAATTTTTGAAATTCAAAAGCAGGAAGCTGATATTCATATTTGACTTCTGGTTCATTCACTCATTCTCAACTTCTGTGGTTGGCCAAATTGCTAACTTGCAGTACATATTTTTGACATTTTGATATTTTTCTAGAATGAAAAAATTCTGTCTTGTCTCTTTAATTCAGAAACTCTTCCATGACAAAAGCCCGTACACCATTATGTTTGGACCAGACAAGTGTGGTGAAGATAAAAAGGTGAGTATTAACACAACCAGCTAATGATAAATGGTCTTTTTTTTTCAATAATTGCTTAAACCCCCATGTAAAATAACTTGAGTTAACATTATCAGTGTCTCTTAAATCATTTTGGGCGGTTGAGTCCTTTCATACAATAATGAATTCTGCCTAATAAAAAAATTAATAAATTTTCTTTCAGCTTCACTTCATTTTTAGGCATAAGAATCCAAAGACTGGTGAATATGAAGAGAAACATGCAAAGAAACCAACTGGGAATTTCCAGAGTGTTTTTGATGGCAAGAAGACTCATCTCTTCACCTTGGTAGTAAGACCAGACAACACCTTTGAAGTGTTTGTGGACCAAGCAAGTGTTAGCTCTGGAAGTTTGTTGGAAGATTTCACTCCTCCAGTCAACCCTCCTAAGGAGATTGATGATCCAGACGACAAAAAGCCAGAGGATTGGGATGAACGAGAGAAGATTCCTGATCCTGATGCGGAAAAGCCGGATGATTGGGATGAAGATGCACCTGCAAAAATACCTGATCCTGATGCAAAGGTTAGGCTCAGTGTCTCATCTGCATTTAGCTCTGAGAATAGTTCCTTTCTTGGCTTGTTGTACTTTGGAAGAAAAGTAATATGCTAATGAATTTATGTACAAGGGTAGATTTTCAGATGTTCTTTAAAGGCTGTTTTTTTAGAAAACGTAGTGATGAGGCATATAAGGACAATATGATTTGATCCTGTGGCATATATCAAGTCCAGTGACTTCACTTATCTTGGGTCTCACAGAGCNCAAGCAAGTGTTAGCTCTGGAAGTTTGTTGGAAGATTTCACTCCTCCAGTCAACCCTCCTAAGGAGATTGATGATCCAGACGACAAAAAGCCAGAGGATTGGGATGAACGAGAGAAGATTCCTGATCCTGATGCGGAAAAGCCGGATGATTGGGATGAAGATGCACCTGCAAAAATACCTGATCCTGATGCAAAGGTTAGGCCCAGTGTCTCATCTGCATTTAGCTCTGAGAATAGTTCCTTTCTTGGCTTGTTGTACTTTGGAAGAAAAGTAATATGCTAATGAATTTATGTACAAGGGTAGATTTTCAGATGTTCTTTAAAGGCTGTTTTTTTAGAAAACGTAGTGATGAGGCATATAAGGACAATATGATTTGATCCTGTGGCATATATCAAGTCCAGTGACTTCACTTATCTTGGGTCTCACAGAGCTCAGTGGTTGTAGAATTCCTTTTTACGGACCACTAACTTCCAAGGTCAAGGTTTAATTAATTCGCATTGGGCACAAAGATTTGTTTTCTTGTTGTTTGTTTTTGTTTTTGTTTTTGTCTTCACTTTTGCTGAGAAAGACTCGAACTTTTACTGGAATGGTTGTTCATACAGCTGTGTGGAGGTGTTTGTTTACCTTGTTCATACAGCTGTACATGGGTGTCAAACTTCCTGATAAGAAATGATAAAAATTTTTTTACAACTGTAGAAACCAGATGACTGGTTAGATGATGAGCCTGAGTTTGTACCTGATCCTAATGGGGTGAAACCAGATGACTGGGATGAGGAGGAGGATGGAGAATGGGAAGCACCTCAAATTGGTGAGTCTGACATGTATATATTGGGCCTGGCAAAGTGCTGTCTGATAGCAGGGTGTTCATTAGGCATTAGAGGTCGGAGAATTCTCCATTTGCTTGGAAGAATTCTCCTGCAAATGTTTAGTAGCCTGTGACTGTTTTTTATCCAGACAAAGAGATTTTTCAAAATATTCTCCCATAATGTTACATCTTACTCCTGCTACTAGAATCCTTAATGAAAACCCCGTCGATAGACCTGGAACATCATCCATTTGGACTTGCTTGATCCTCAAAGTTTGGGCTGGTTAACTACAGCACCAAATATCTTCTCACAAGATTTAAAATTCATCACAATCCATGAAGTAGGTCAACAAAATCAATTACCTGATCACAGAAGATGAACACAAATGTCTCTCCTTATTTTGACAACTTCTCTCCAACTTTGTTGGGGAATGAAGCTTTAAGAATCCCAACTAGTTTGAGGGTAGAACAGGTAGCAATTTACAACTGTGTAACTTTGAGACTTTTCTACCTCCTTTTCATGCAGCAAATCCAAAATGCGAGAAGGCTGGTTGTGGTGAATGGAAACCTCCTGTGATAGACAATCCTGCTTACAAGGGAAAATGGTCAGCTCCTCTTATTGACAATCCCAATTACAAGGTACAGTGTAGTGTATTATGGACAAGCTCTATCAGGAAAAATACACCTATTTAGAGAAATGATTTTCCTTAAACATTTTGTTTGAACTGCTGGTTAGACTGGACTGAAATTGTACCCTTTGAGAGTTTCCTTTTCATTGTCTTTCTCTTAGCCAGGAACTGGTATCTATTTTGAACGCTACTAAATCACATGAATGATCATGCTGTAAAATCACTTTTACACTTCCCTTCCCTGTCGTATGCACTTCATTTTGTAATGTTAGGGAGTTTAAGCAACCATGATGACTACAATAGTGAAAATGTCGCTAAAAAAAATGTATTTGCATCCGCTCAATCTGCTCAATTTGTCAAAAGTAGGCGATTTTTCCTGGAATTGAATACATAAGGATTTTATTCTGCTTTATAAAGGGAAAGGAAAATTTGTAGTCTAATGTTTAGGAGATTTCATGTTACAGTTGTGCAGTGGACATCAAATTAATTAGTTAACTAAAAAGCATGACGCATGTGCAGAGCCATTGTGTTGCTCATTAAAACAATTCTTTTTTGACATTGTCATTCATCGTCATGGTGATTGCTTAAGCTTCCTGTTACTACAGTACTAGTGAATAATTCCATGTAAAAACTGCTCGTTGAAGTGCAGTTAAGTGCTTAGGTTACAATTCAACATAGCTTGTCATTTTCATTTCCCATTATAAATGGCCAGTTCTGATGAAAAGTTTTCCTTAGTATAAGTTGTCTGCCTCTGGCAGTATTCTGTTGCAGTAAATGAAATACCAAATTAATTAATATATTGCAGGGTATCTGGAAACCCAGGAAGATTGCCAACCCTGATTATTTTGAGGACAAAGAACCTTTCAAGATGACAAGTATTGTAAGTGAAAACAACTTTAATTAAAAGTTATTTTTCTTGACCTTGACCTTGACTTGATGCACAACAGTAGTCTGCTGTTTCCAAGAATTGAAACTTATTCCCGCATAATATAGTGCACTTAACTCATGCTGCCGTTCCCTGCCACATCATGTATTGATTGCACACGTTACAGAAGAAATACAAACAAGGAAATGGCTGATAGCCATTGCTATAAGAAGAATGTATTTGTATGTATTTGTTAGAGGTAAAGAGCACTACTCACAGCATGCTGTTATTGTTCTCTCATTCTGCAAGGAACTGTACTTAGTAGGTGTACAATCTTTTTGTCTTGTAAAACATTGATGTCATAGTCATACATATTCATTCTTCATGTGTGTTGTTTGCCTGTAGGCTGCTGTTGGCCTGGAACTCTGGTCCATGACTCCTGATATCTTGTTCGATAATTTTATTATCGCGAATGACAAGTATGTAGCTGACAAATTTGCTGCAGACAGGTATGATTAAAAAAATATATAATAATCTTATTACTGTGAACTACTACAATTTTGATGCTGTTAAAAAATATGTTACTGCTGGCTAAAGTTGTTGACTCTCCTTTTCAGCTGGGTGAAGAAAAACATCAAAGAAACTTATGGTGGAGATGAAGAGGTCAGCAACAATTTTATACTTTAAAAATCTTTTTGTAGTTATGTATTTCTGTCCTTTTGTGTGTTTTGCAAAAGGCCAAAAAATGTTTTAGCTAGGGAAATTCGAGTTCTTAGAGTAGTTTGTATTTAACAATGTTGTTTTTTGTGCTATTTTAGGGTGGAATAGTCAGTAACCTGATGGAAGCTACCAATGAGAGACCTTGGCTTTGGGTCCTGTTTATCATTGTTATCATTTTACCATTTGTTTTAATTGCTGCCTGCTGTTTCCCTGGAAGTAAGGTATATGCCTGGGTGAATGAAACTTGTAATGTTTTTGTGCACAGCTGTTTTGTAACTATTAAATGTGCACTGACAAGTTATTATGCCACTCAGTACTAATATTACAGTTAACTCCCATTACCTCGAACTCCTGATAACTCGGACTTTTTTTCAATTTCCCTTGAAGGTTCCAGTTATCGGGAGTCAACTGTATATGTATATCTGCTCTGCTGTCCTAAGTATTATATCTATACTGTATCTATTTTTCTTTGCCATAATATACAATATCAGTCTTCCCAGATGTTCCCCTCTCCTTCTTAGTAGTATTTCATTTTCCGTAGTTAATACAGATACAAACTATAGAGGAACAAGTCAGTATAGCCTGAGAAAACAGCCAACATTTTGCAATTCGACCTCTGTTTTTCCCTTTGAAATGACGTCTGAGGAGCGAGTGCAGAAATGCCATACTAATGACATGTCACTACCCAGCGGCGCCACGAAATGTGGGCTCTTTTCTCAGGCTAGTCAGTAAAGTCATTTGTATTTTGCACCAATCATTTAAATTGTTTGTAGAGTGATGCTGCTGCCAAGAAGAAGAAAACCGATGAACCAACTGAAGATGTTGCTCCAGAAGACAATGAGGTATTATTGTCAAATACATTTTACAATATTAAAGAGAACATTTTCAAAAATTTGTCTTAAAATAACATCCATCAAACTGTCATTTGTTAAGTGTAAAGGTTTCTAGCTTCTGCTAAGTCCCTTGTGCAGGCATTATTTAGGTTTCATTGCAGTGAATGACTTTGGTTGTTTTGTCTAGATGTGGTGCTACCATACAAAATGGCCACCATAATCTGAACAATGATGATGAAGTTCAAATGTATTGAATATGTTACTTTAACAATGGAACTTTCATTGTAGAATGAATCAGAGAAAAAGGAAGATGAAACACCAGCAGAAGGAGGTGAAGAGGTGAGTGCAATAGTGCTGAAGAAACTGTTAAAAAATGTCATTTAAAGTTCATTCATTCATTCACTTAAGATGAGATTGGCTAAGCTGTGATCACTGTGTTCATGAGGGCATTATTGTCTTGTTAACTCAGGATTACTTTTTTTTGTAGGCTGAAGAAAAAAATGAGGAAGAAGAAAAGGTGAGAGAAATAAAAGCTTTGGAAGTTCTTACTTAAGAAATGGTAAAATAATAATATTGCATTTTTGTGAAGTGTCTTTGGTTGTTGGGCATCCAAGGATTTCCAGAAAGTTGTCTTAAGTAGTGAAAGATGGTACCATGTCATTCTTGATGTAGTTACTCAGTATGCAGAAAAGGTGGGTCCTGTGAGAGCTTCCAAGATGTCAAGGGATTACTGTTAGCTGAATACTGTTATCAAGTTAAAAAAGTACCATCCCTTGAAAGTAGCTTAAGGAAATGTCTGCTTAACCCTAAAGTAGCAAGGCATGTTGCCATGTCTCTCAAGTAAGGCATATAATACTGTTTGTAGTGGGTTTGTTGCTTCTTTGAGAAGTCATGGTTAAAGCTCCAGTAAAATGCAAATTTAACATTTGTTTTGTAGGAGGCTGAGGGAAATGAAAATGATACAGAGGGTAAAGATGAGGTTGATGAAGAGGACAGCGCCAAGTAAGCAATTTTGCTGGATGTTGTTTCTTATTTTTGATCTGAAAGTTGATTTTTTTACAATAAGTTCACCATGCTTTATTTTTCAACATCTGCTGTCACAAAGCTCTTGGAAACCTCCTAATTTCATTACATTCTTTCTGACATAAAGCTCTATTGTTTCAGGACTTGGCCTGTTGTTTCTGTAGTTTGGATATCGTTAACCCCTAATCCTGTTAGCTGTTGTAGGAACCTTCAGGCGGCCCGTTAAGCTCAAGTGGCTTGTGAAGCTGGGAACTTTGAAAAAATTCCTTGAATGTTCATATATTTTGTGACCAGTGGAAGCACTTCAAGTACTGCTTGATTTGTACCATTACAAAACCTTGCTTCTCATGCCATTAGCTATTACCATTCCCAAAATGTGTAATGATTTTGGCAGGAATTCAGAAGTAATAACTATTAACTTGTTAATTTCACAATTCTGTTTCCTTCGCAGGAGGACAACTAGAAGAAGGACACGCAAAGACAACTGATTATTATGATTTGCTACAGCTCACAAGGACATTGTTTTTAACTCATCATGACAGAGCCCTTATTTGATCAGTTTTCTTTCTGATTCTTCTTGCTGTGCTTCATCTTATTAGTTTCTTTATGACTGACAAGTAAGAGTTCTGAATGAATATTAGTCCAGGGGTGCTGGTGAATGTCTGCACAATTAAATTAACATGTAACACTGCTGAGATGGTGACATTTTGTTTTGGTGCATTAAACAGTGTGGTTTTTTTGTGTGAGCTGGAAAAATATAGAATAAAGAATTCAACAAACAAAGTGTCGTACCACAAGGTTTGGTCACATTCACTCTCAAAGTTGAATAAACTTGATGCAGAAACAAAAAACCATGATCATAAATACTGGAGAAAAGGAGGCTAACTCTTCCTTCAGAGCCACTTGGTATTTCTAGATATTTATGTTATCATCAAGCAAAACAACCTTTCCAAGTCTAGTGGTTTTTATTATTATTATTACTAATTCTTTGTTGCATTTAGGTTGAATTATTGTCGGAAAATCAGTATTAATTTTTCTTTTATTTTAGGTCAGGTCGCTTTTACATTTAATTAATTTAATAGTGTTGTTCAAAGTTTTCACAATTTGTAGCACTGCATTGATTCCATTTTAATAAAATTTTCATCTCCACTTCTTGCCTCTTACTGTTGTGTTTAGTCTCACAATATTGTACTAAAAACTCACCAAACAGCCCTTGTACCCTTTTGCCTGGACAAATTCCACCCACAAACAAGCACCATAGATAGCTTAACTTAGGTTATGAAATCATGGTATAGAAGTCAGCTATTATGTCAAGATAACTTGTAAAATCCGGATTGGTGCTTTTGCATCTAAAAAAAACGTTGCCCAGTAGACAGTAACCCAGCAACATTGTGGACATCATTTTTTTAATTTGGAACTCTGGTTGCATCCTGACAAATATATTAACTTTATCAAACCATTAATAGCCTCTGCCACAGATAGAACTAAACTTCTGGCGCCAATTGTTCAAAAGGTGGATAGCGCTACCCACAATATATATCTCTATCCAGTGGATAGCGTAATTGTTTTCCCTAATACTTATCCACTGGATAGTGATTTATCCGATGGTAGCGCTATCAGGCTTTTGAACAACTGGGGCCTGGTTAAGCCAGTTGGTGAAACCGCTCCGAAATTCTTGTTCTTGGCCTCCATTTGTGTACCAGGATTTGGGTACATGCCATGATTGGCCTGTTAAAAAAGCCATGGTCAGCTTGTCAATTAGGTTGAAAGGAAATTTTAAAACACCTTTGTGTTAATTTGTTGAGTCTGTTGGAGGTCCAGAACAAGGAACGTGGCACTGCTCCACAGGTGTTACTAAACCAGGGTTGGATTACATCTGCAACACAGGCTAACCATTAACCCTTTCACTGCCAAATTTAGCCGAAAGAAAATTTTGCCCAAATTTATTTTGTGAAATTTGGAAAAACAAACAGCACCATGCGTAAGTACAGGCAGGGAGGTTTCATTTGAATGGTCACATCATAGGATTTTGTGTGCAAAAGTTTGAGTCACCTTACAAAACTCTATCAAGCACTCTGGCAGTGAAAGGGTTAAAACTAATGTTTTATCAGGGAGACAGGACTGAAACTATCTTGAGCGTAATCATTCTTGTCTTGAGTCCCTGTTATTTCTTTTGGTCACTAGAATAAAACAATGGGGTGTCACTCCTTCTTTAGCTAAAAAGCTGTGCGGCCCTTGTGATGAGAATGGAGTATGATCACCTAAGAAACATTTTGTGACTTACACTCCTTGTCGAATACCGTAAAACTTTTATTGGCTTTTGCTTACAAAAAACACAATATTTACATTAAAAACCTGTGTTCTTATAACAACAGCTCACCAAATTGAAATTCAAATATAAACCTATTAATTATCAACTTTACCAATAAAAAAGTCGTATGTTATGTTATATTAAATTATTATTGACTTTATAAGCTAGCTTAATTTGTAACATACCAGTGTTAATCTTTGCATCCTAATTCCTTTGATCTTTATTGCTACAGTGAGATGAGTATTTCAATGTTTCTTTTAACTTTATTTCTTACTAACATGTATGCATATACTGCAGCCATAGATAAATACCACAGGGTTCAAAGAAAATCATTTTCAGGCAAGCTGAAGCTAGCATTTACTAGCCTAGACGTCATTTCACTTTTTGACAGCAGAATTTTGTTATTTGAATTCCTCAAAAAACATCACTTGCCCGTCGGGCAAGTTAAAATCAGAATTCACTAGCCCAATAGCAAAATCCACTAGCCCCGTGCTATCGCACATTAGTAAAATCCAAGTAGTGGTCTATTATTAATGCTGCGTTCTGATTGGTTGAGCTTCTACTAGGCTATATGTTATAGCCCCCTAGTAGCAAAAAGCACAGGCTTTTTGGTTGCAAAAAAGGATTAAAGTCTAGCTTTAACTAGCTAAATTTTTTTTATTCTCGATATTTTTGACCAACTAGCTGGATTTTACTAAAACAATATTATTATTCCCCTCGCCCTCATGGCCTCTGAGTTAATAGCCCATTCGGCCTTCGGCCTCATGGGCTATTGACTCAGAGCCCATTCGGGCTCGAGGAATAATATTGTTAAATACTTTCTTTGCATGCTGACACGACGTAAATGGTTTCTATGTACGGTCAATTCTTCTAAAGCAGGAATTTAGCACTGGTCCCTGCCGTTCTTTATAAGGAGCGCACTTTTCTAAGATGGTCCCTTAACAGTGGTTCCAGCCACGTCTGTCATAAAGGGACTTAATTTGTACATTGTGATTGATGAACAACCTAATGTTTGTTTCATTGGTAAACTCACTACAAACTTGTTCACACCCTTAACCATAGTAGAGAAGACTGGTAATGAAAGGCAGCAAATTGAAAGACAAATCCTTCAGTTAACAAATTGTGACGAAATAAATTAAATCAAGATTTTTTCAGGTCAAATCAAAATGACAGGAATGCTATTGAATGTTCTGCACTCACAAGTCCGCAAAAACATGCAACAAAAGAGTCAGACAGGCCTCATAACCAGTCCATTCTTATAAATTAGTAACAATCGGGCATTTGTTTGATGGTATCATTGCATCAAATGGAGAGAAAGACGATAATTATTAATTATCAAGTTGAAGTAGATTAAGGCCCGGTTGAAACCTTGAACTTTTCATGTACCAAAATTTATAACTATTTGGTTTGAACCAAACTATTTAAGATCAACGGTTGCTTCAAATGTTAAACTTAATTTGTTGGACTCAATTCATTTTCACATTGTACAATGATCTACAATGCTTACCAGTAAAAAATTCATAAATTATAATAATGTATGCATTAGATTAGCCACATGAAAATTTTGACGTTTCAAAGAAGTCGCTCTGTAGTAAGAAATTCCCACGTGGGCCACTCAAACTTAATTCATGGTTTGACCCTAATTAGTCACGTCAGACTTGACTGATTTTGACTGCAAAACAGTCCGTATTTTTGTGTATTCAAGTACACATGAGCAGTCAAACAAAAGGTCTGGAACGAGGGTGAAAACAGAGAGCAATACTGCCGGGAGAGATGCTAAAAATCTCTCGCCTCACATGCCCCCTATGAGGCTCGGGTGATTCGCGCACCAAGACTCTTACGCAAGGCTTTACCGATCTCTTTACTGATTTTGAGAAAAAACCGACCGTTCTGCAGTCTATAACTGATTCAAACTTCGATCTTTTTTCACGTAGTTAATTGAAGGGATTAGGTTCAGTACATGAAAAGTTTGACGTTTGAACTGGGCCTAAGCTTTGCTTTCTCTACTAATGCTTCTGTTGTATTCAATAACCCATTAAAGATTTCACACTAAAACTAAACCCATAGAATTCTAGCAACTAAACCAAAATGTAACATACTATTGACAAGACTTGTGTCCCAGAATGCAAGAAAAAAGTGCCAGGGAAATCAAGTTTTGTTAATACATCATTATTATTTTTTCTTTTTGACAAAATTCATTTGGTAAAAAATACAATTTAATGCTAATATTTAACAAGGGTCTACGTTAAGAGTTGCCTTTATCCTCTCCAGCGATAACATGTATCTGAAACCAGAAGTAAACGAATTTTTAACATATTTTTACCTCTCAGTTTTAAACTAGGTATGTTACCATCATTATCTTGAATTGGTCTCCTAAAAATGCCTGCGGACACCCAGATAATATGGACACTATCTTGTCTCTTTATCTTCTTCATTGTCATTGTTTTTGCTGCCGTTGTTCGTAATTTGCCCCACCTAGATGCAGCATTATTTTGGAGAGTGGGGGGGCTTCACTTTGCCCTTCCCCACTACCCTGCCTACTGCTCAAAAATAGGGATCCCAGATAATAGGATGCAGAATAAGACATGAAATCAAATAAAAATGATAATGCCATACAGGCCAAAAAAACAAAAAAAATTCTTGAAGAGAGGAATTCTGGTCTCACTGGTGAGGTATCAATTGGAAATTTGCCCATGAAACAGGAAACCACAACCCTCCCTCGTTTTGCCACGCTTGTGCTAGAAGTACATTTTAGACTATTACACTGTTTTTACCTCACTTAAAATAATCCAACTTTCACTGTTGTGGCCCCAGACTCGTATTCTCATCTCTGAGACTTTGCCAATATCCTGTGGAACGTGACCTTCAGCTAGTCCGTTGGGACTAAAGACTCCTACTCTGATGTAACTAGATAATGGATATTCATACTTCATGAAATTCTTCTTGGCTTCTGGAGATGCATCTCTTCCAGGTTCTGAAGAAAAAAAAAATCATTTTTAAGGATACTGGCTGCCTGTTTAACCATTCACCACCGAACTGCCTGTAACCTCTCATGCTGATCCATGTCGTTTTACCGTGTGTGAGATCATCAGTTTTAATGGTCAAGGACAACTTTCTCAGCTAACTTGTGCAGGTTGAAGAGATCTTTCAAACCATGCCAGAACGAGCCCGATTCTGTCAGGGAGGTTAGAGAACAAGGCAAAATGACTATGTAACTTTAAGTGAATCTAACCTGACATCTTCTTGGCTTGAGCCAATGCCTTCACAGGAAGAACTTCAACAGAAGCATTTCTTATAATATCACCTGGATGTTCAAGGTTTCCTGACTTGAACTTGAACCTGACAAATTGAATGAAAGGTAAGGATGAAGGGGCTGGTGTGGGTGCAGGGCAACTAAAGGTGTTTAGGATGTAGCGCCACACCTGCAGACCTGCAAATTAAACCCTCCAGTGCTACAAATAATAGAAATGAAACATGAACATGCTGATCTTTTTCCAATGGTTATTTTTTTCTTCAGTCTGTTAACTTCGAGCATGTTCTATGTGCATTTTTGTATGTTGCAGTGTTAATGGAAAATAGAATAGGGGAGGGTAGGGTGGGTGACTCCAGTAGAGAATTTCCTGCAAACTGACTTGGAATGAAAATTCTTGCATTGAGTCTTATATTTACACCAAGAAATATGAAAAATGTTGACAAAAGTAATTGTTGTAGGCCTGGAGAAATATTCCTGCCCAAAGTAAATCAGCCAACCTCCACTTAGCAAAAGTTAAATGGTCCACCACTAAACAGCACCAGTTTTCCCCCTCACAGCTAGTGCCTGAATTCTAGTGGAATCAGAGAGTTGAGATCAGATGTCAGCATAGCCTGTGTGGCTGCTTGCACTGACCGGGGAATTGTGAAGCCGTGCTACAATCCCCCCCCCTCCCCGCCAAAAAAAATAAATAAATAAATAAATAACAACTCTCACGCCATCTGGGCAGGCTAATGTTGTCATGTAATGGTGCAATCTTCCTCCACTTGAGTGCAAAAGTGCCCCCCTCCCCAAGGCAAAATAATCATGGTGAATCTCACATTATTTATGATTGCTAATGATGATAAAGACTGATAAGCAGCAGATGCAGCAGCAGGAAAAGAACATACCTTTCTATTCTAATTTCCTTGTGGAATTTCAGTCTTATAACATCATCAGCATGTGGTGGATAAGCCCAGAAGAATGTCTGTCCCTTGTACGCACGATCAATACTGAAGGCTTGATAAGGTTCCAGTGTGGTCACTGCCTCAGCTTGAGGGTTTAGGTGCGCTTGGAATAATGGTGCTTTCTTGAAGTCTTTATCCTTTTACAAATAAACAACAAGATATCAAAACTGAATAATACTATATTACATTACCCAGGTCTATAAAGTGTGGAGAATAACAGAAAAAAGCAACTCAATGAAAATGATATGTTCAGCACATTTTCCCCAATCTTCTACTACTCTCCTTAGGGTTTATTTTCTAAGCCATAACAGTCTGAACAACAACAATATGGTGGCCATGCTCATCCAGACCCTTATAGGACAACAGGGGAACTCAGCCTCAAAAATGATTTTTTTCCAGTCCTGAGGGATTCAGTTTGGCCTAAAAGGTGGGAGGGGGGGGGGGCCCGGGGTCCCCCCACTTTACCCTTTTTCAAGGCCAAGGATATGGAAATCTTTAATGAAAACCAAAGGAAAAAAACCCGAAAACAAAATTTTTCTATAAAATACAAAAAAAAGAAATAAAAAACCGGCATGGTGTGGAAAAAGGATACAACAATGAAAACCCCAACCCGCTACAACCCCCCTATGGGTTTTTTCTAACAACACTACACGATGAAAAACAAAAAAGTGGGGGGCCCCCCCAACCAAGACCCTTAAAGGAAAAAAGGGGAACCCAGCCCAAAAAATTTTTTTTTTCCCGCCCGGGGGGGTTCAGTTGGGCCAAAAGGGGGGGGGGGGGGGGGGGCCCTGGGTCTCTCCACTATATCCATTTATCAGTGCAAAGATCATGAGAATCTTTAATGATAGCCAAAGGAAAAAAACTTGAAAGCAAATTCTTGTCAGTAATATCAAAAGAAGTGATTAAACAGCTGCGTGTGTGTGTAAACGGCTAAAACTATTTAAGAGGGACTAGTTTTCACTTACAATCAAAGTCTGTTTCTTTCCTTTGAGTGATGATTCTTTTCCTACATGTTGAAACAGGGAGGGTTTGAACCTTATTCGCAGGTGCATTTTTTCCCTTGTACAATGTTGCTAAAAAAGAAAAGAACAACAATCTTTACTATCAACAACACTACCATTCAACATCATCACAATCATTCCCATCATCACCATCATCATCTCCATTATCATCAGACAGCATCAACATCATCAACTCTTACACATCATTGACATCACCATCGCAAATATTACATGTATTATTATTACCATCACTTTCAACTTCACAATCATCATCATCACAGAATGATGATGCGAACTGAAAGCCCTGGGTTTGAATCCTGTTGAAGTCCTGAATTTTTTCGCGTGCATTTGCAATTGCTTAAAATTGCAATTACCACTGCAACGATCATATATCTTCATTTACAGATCATCATCATCACCAACATTATGATTATTATCATTAACTTAATCATCATGATTAGCTTCATGTTTATCATCACCATTTCCATCATAATCATCATCATCATCATCACCATCATCACCATTTCCATCATCATCATCATCATTAGCGGTAGCAGAAGTCTTCTCACCACAACCAATAAATATTTAAAGGCTCTTGACAGACAACAATCAATCCATTATTTTTATACTTTATACACTTACTTGATCTTTCTCTGGGTTGCAGACTTTTACCCAAAGAATGTGATCCATAAGCCAGTCAACAGGCTTGTCTTTGTAGAACAAGAGAATGAATTCTACCACCAAACTAAGGTCACTTGAGCGGAAAAGCTTTCCTACCGAATTGAAATACAGCAAATGCCCGCTAATAAGAACCTACTTTTTTTAAGTCTGGCAAAATAGGTTGTTTTATTTTGGGGTACTTATTGGCCATTTAATTAGGCTGAGTAGGTTCTTAATTTTTATGAAGGAGATAATAGATTCCTGATTCCCAGAAAAATGAATAAACATTAAATTATTTATTCACCATTGAATTATTATAACCATAACATAACTGATTACCAAATTTAAATACAGTTTAGTACAGGGTGTTTTTGTTATACTTGAATTGCGACTCGAAGTTAAACTCCTTTGTTAAATTGTTTAGCATAGAAGAACCTGCTTGGCCTAACAGGTTCTTGTATTTTTGGTTATTAAAGTGGCAAGTTTCTGCCAGGAGGTTCTTAATCCACAGGTTCTTATTAGCGGGTGTTTACTGTACATGTAATGATCATAAAATTCTTCTTGTGTACCATGTTTTAACACATGTTATATTCAAAGTCCCTTTTTTTTGTTTACTTAGTCAATATCTCCAAAACATACTATTGAAAAAGATCACAAAAAAAAGGAAGAAATTAAGAGATAAAGAGCAAAAGTTAATTGAACTAACTCTTTGCTTTGCTTTACTTCGTTGGTTGAAAAAAAAAACCCTTAATTAAAGGGATAATGAGAAGAAAATGGTACATAATGTACCAAAAGGTGACACACATGCAGTACATGTACAGTAAGTAAAAATAATAATACATGCTTGCAACTTACCTATGAAACCAAGAGTAGAGAACTCCAGCATAAGCCATTCATTTGTCACTTGCTGAAGTGCAAATGTTTTGATGGTGGAGGCAAAACTAGGTGTAGCCACCAAATCATCTTCAAGCTAGACACAAACAGGACAAAAAAAGTTGAGACATCATTAACTACAAATCATTGCAGTGGTAGTTAGCCCAAACAAGCTCATTATCTGTGACCATAATAATCTATTATATTAAATTCAAACTAAAAAGTGAACGTATTCACCTGAATATAAAATCTTGCTTTTCGTTGGCAGTACATCATCAGGAAACAGAAATCAAGATTTTGTTTTGTTCTCCATCTACAACCGAACAACCAAATATTAAACTGGCAGTGAGTCTGCAACTAGCTGTCAACAAATTAATCTGGCAGCACCACATTTTTTAACCCAGCTAAGGGTAACTCTTAATTACCTTTGATTCCCAATTTATGAATAACATGGGTTAGGAGATTGAGGAAATTGAAAATTAATCCAGGTTAAAGAATAATCCTAACCTTAATTTAATTTACAACTGTAACATTATATACAGTTACACATTATAGTTGGGATGTGACCTCTTTCAAAGGGAGTGAATTCATATGTACACGTATCTCTCAAACTAGGAGAATGTTGAACATGCGTCAATTTAGTTCAGGACTGTTGACAGAACAGAACAGAGGGCTGGACTTGCAATGGAGATAAGGCTCAGGACACACACAAGCAAACTACAAAACCATGAAATGTATCACCTCTGGTGCTCAGCTGAGGTTATGTCTAATTTAATAGCTTCGTCTTTGCAATGCATTAACATTTGAGAAATATTGTCTCAAGCATTCACAGCTTTTCATCACACAAGTTTTGCTTACTTGACTCTCTCCCTTGAATCACCAAATGTAAGTGGTACAGCTTCCAAATCTGGATAGAAACTGGTAGAAGGAGACACAATCTCCACTAATCCAGATTCAACATCTGAAGAAAACCTGAAGTAAAGGAACATACAAATAAAACTCAAGTGGAAACCTGTCAATACCACAACCACTAGGATGTATGGCAGGTTCCCATTGCACTTCAAAAGGAAAATGATTTTGACCTGGAATTCATTTTAAGCTACAGAGGGTTAGTGCTCACAATGACAGCCTTTAAATTCCTTTCAAGTCACCAAAATACCTTATTGAATTGGTTCGTATTAAACCCATGAAAGGATGATGATGAAGTTATGAATATATGAAAATCATACATCGTTTCACGGGTTTAATACGAACTAATTCAATTACCTGCTTCCAGTTGGCTTGTTAACTCAATTGGTAGAGCGCTGCCCTGGTATTGCAGAGGTGAAGGGTTTGAATCCTGACAAGCCTGAATTTCTCAGGCTTTCTTTTTGCAACTGCAAAAGTTGCATCTATAACTGCGATGATCTTCTTTCATATAATTCTTCACCCCGCAGGTCTCCTGTATGATTTTCATATATTCATAACTTCATTACATATACTGTTTATGAGCAGTAGACAAAACACTGGACTACCCTAAAATGGACTATGCCGCTGAAGTTTAGTGGTTAGAGAAAGGAAACGTAGTGAATTGGGTTCCATTAAATTTTAGAGTCATTATACTGGGAAAACTGACCTGAAACTTGATTCACTCAGTTTCCTAACCCTTATCACTAAACTTCTACTATGTATTCCATTTTAGGGCACTCAAAAACAAGAGACTCCTAATATCAATAATAATACTGAGTATTACCTTTCTTTCACATCATTAGCAACACTTGATGCATACTCTCTGTTGGTCTGCAGGTAAAATTAGAACTCCAAATAAATAACAAGATATCAAAAGTATCATGGTCACTTGGTATTGACTGACATTGACTGAAATAGGCAACTTCATGGTTCTTGGCTATGGAAGTGAGCCCTCTCTTACCTTTATCTGCTCAAGCGATGTGCACATACAGAGTTATAACATAACCAATTACGGGAGAATTCTATCACACAACAGAGGTAGAAGCCGGTGAACAGCAGATGCATTTCCGGTCGTCGCTTCTCTTCCTCCCTTTCAGAGGGGGAGAAGTGACGACCGGAAATGCGTCTGCTGTTCACAGGCTACAGAGGTAGCCTCTATAGTCACCTTTTGGTATCCAAGGTAAGATTTGATGAAGTTGGCTACACATCATGCTCTTGTCGGTCAAGGGCTGGCTTAATAACAAAATAAAGGTATTTACCTCACCCACAAAGATAACTATAACACTGTCATCTTTGTCTTCCTGTGTCATTCCATCCAGGAGGGATGCAAGAGTATTCACAAGGTATGATGTCTTCTCACGCTTTATCGTGGGAATTCCAAACACTAAAGAAACTGCAATATAGAAGTTTGCAGGGAGCAACGACAAAATGCTGTGTTAAATACTTTACGTGCCATGATCTAACTTGGCAAAAAATGCCGAGGTTAAGAGAGCGATGAAAGATATTATAGATCATGCATCACACGCATTATTATAAGCTGTTTATTGTTTGACTCATGGTGGTCACTTTGCTATTGCATGTTTTGACCATTTTTGTACCAACTGTTGATCTTTGTTAGACAATGGCATAGATTTTGTTGCAAATCCGGACCATCACCAAAAAATTGAGTACATTGTAAGGAAGATCTAAGCTCTCAGCCACACCATTTGCTATGAGATACTTGTCATTATTGCTATCACAACTACTATAGTTAATAACACTAGAGGTAATCAATGATTACGGATCCGCATTCGTCACTTACGGGAATGAAATCGAGTCAAAAGGAGTCCAGCTCCCCGGCTGAGATGCCTCTGATAAAATCAGTGGGGGCGGCTAATCACTAGTTGCCCCCATTACCTCGAAACTGGGGCTTTGTACCACAGGAGCACCAGGATTAAGATGCGTTCTGACAAACGCGATTAGACCTTTTGATTCAAGGTCAAAAAGGACCACAAGTACGAGATTTCACCTAAAGTTTTTATTGTACTTTTGATTCACCAGAAAAGTTAGCACTGTTAATCTTTACAAAAAGAAGGTCAAGCCCTCTGCCAATCGCAAAATGATAAAATTTCTAATATTTGATAATTCAATTCTGCCACTACGACAATCTTGCTAAAATTCGTGGTAGAATGATGTCGGCTTTCACGTTTTCCCACCAAAATGATGCTGGTTCAGGCGTGAGCGATACTCAGTACTGAGAAAATCTCGTTCTCATAGTCATTCTTGTCTTAGAATCTAAAGGTCTCAAATTGCTGTACCTTCCTTACATGTACATTATCTGCATTATTGTATTACAATCATACCTCCTTGACGATCTTTTGTGACATGTATCGCAGGCTTTAAACTATTTGGGGAATCCATAAGATGCGGCATAAAAGCATAAATACTTGGTAATTGTAACACCTGGTGCTCATTAAAAAATATCCTATTTGAATTCTCAGTTCTGTTGGATGTGTTAGTTCTTTTTGTTTTTTCCGCTACCATCGCTGACAACTTTGTCTTTAATAAAATAAGCTCCTGTGATCTGGCAGAGCTCTGGAATTCCGCATCTCGTAATCTGTCCCTTAGGGACTCTATTTTGGTAATCAAATCTACATCTACTTGACTGGGTGGCAAACTTTTTGGCAAATCTAAAACGAAAGTTAAAATAACAATAAAATTAGTAATTTATTTTTTAATGTTGAGAAAACTGCAACCTTCCAACAACAAGCTAATAACAGGTCTGTTCAAAAGCACAGGCTTTTTGCTCACATGATTTGCTCAACCAGTCATAAACAATCCTGTGGTAGCAAGCATACAGCTATCAGACCTGGATTCGAAACTATATCCTAGCTACATGCCACGTATACTCAACAAAGATCTGACTCCATTCTTGCAGAGTTTTTCTCGGGTAAGCCAAAATCGAGCAAGTGAAAGAAAGGCACATACCAAATTTATCACACCATTATTGACCAGTCAATAAGCATTTTGAGCCCTTATCCTTCGTCAGGGTGAATCAAGGGATTGTGGGCTGTGTGAGGTTTGTGACATTTGTATATCAAACATTGGAGCTATGCTATTTAAAGTAAAGATGGTTACATGAAAAATACATTTATGTAAGAATAAATTAGTTAAATGCAAAGTGTTTGATGATTCTCTGGATCAGATTTAAAGTGTAAAATCTCAAAATAAAATTTTGGCATGAACATTTTTTACTGGGCAATTAAATTACCCTGTGAGCAAAGATTTCTTTATGGCACGGCTTATAGCAAATTTTTTTAAGTCGTTAGCAAGGCTTGTCAATCACTTAGTTAACAAACCAGTGATGCAAATGACTTTGTAGATGCTAAAACTCATTCCAGAAAGAAATCTCTGCTTGCAGGGTAAGGCAAAGAAGGTGAAAACTCAAGACTCTTTAATACCAGCCAGAAATCTCTCCAGTGCTATGCATTATTAAAAGCCTGATGAAGCTTCCTAAGGTCAGTTGTATGCTGCTAGCCTAAATAAATCTTTTGAAATATTGATTGAGAAAGACATGCAGTTGGTAGTGTTTTAAGAAGCTGGAAGAAAATTTAATAGACTAGAAAGGAACTAGCCTTTGTTTCACCAGTAAATTAACAGATCGCAAGCTCAAAAGTATTCATTTACTATTAATTGTCACTCTCAAAACCCTTTCACAATAAAATATCATTTAACACAAGCTAAAAAAGTAAAGTGTATAATTCACAATTAATAATTTTTTTAAGGAGGAAAGAAAATTCTTTGGCAGGTTACATCTTGAAGTACTTAAAGATTGAAGTATTGCAGAAAAATTAAATTAAAATTTAAGCACATGAGCCAAACGAAAATTTCCAGTCCCTGACTTCTTATTCAACAACACTCAAGTTGATAAATTTATAGAGATATAGAACAGTCTATCCAAAAATGGTGAATCTTGCTCAATTATGACCAAGTCTCAAATATTTCTCAGAATTAAGAATGAGAGTCCTAGAATCTCAGGCTTGCTGGTCTGTCTCAAAATCTTGAATAAAAATTCTGAAAATATAGGTCTCAAAGTTTCATGAGTTGTAATTGAAGTATGCTATACATTGGTCTCTGTTGGCAAAAAATATAACCATTATTAATATAAACCATACAATCACACATATATTGTATCTGTTTGAAGGGCGGTTATGGATGGACTTTGTATATGAATAATCATCCTTTCAAAACTTCTCAGTGAAATATTGGACCACAACATAAACAGTTTTTTTTTGTTTTTTGAGAGCAAAATTCCAACATAAATCTTTCCTATCAGACAATTTAATATGGTGAAAGCAGGTATCTGAGAAGTAATATTCTTTGAGTAACTGCATTTTAAAATAGTAGTCTTTCACCCAAATACTCAGCTGGCATTCATATGATCAGTTAACATTGGTGCAAAAAGCAACAAAGATCATGAGTAAATCCCTTTTAAACATAAAAAAATACATGCAGCACTTAATTCATACTTGCACTAATTTTTGCAATCTGCTTCTTAAATTTTCATCTTCAGAGTATGGACTAATCAAATATTCATGTATTAATTGTTGCCAAGATAGTAAAGCACCAAGCAAAAACTTTATCTTTCTGTAAAAGTCTATTGCACAAAGTACTTTCGATCAATTAATTGGCAGGTGGGGTAGGACTTGGTAAATAAAAACTTTTCCTTTTTCCCAAGGCTTAAAATATATAATTGTATCTACAATAAGCAACAAAAAAACAAGTTACTTCCGACAAACAGCTCTTTCTTCAGCTGTTATTATAATACTGCCAGAAGCTATTATTTAGGGGCACAGATGTTGAAAAAGGCTAACTAAGTTCTCCTTTTAATAATGAGAAACAAAACGAAATAACAATGTTTTTCAGATTGTTCCACAATCTCTTGAATATTGACGTGGAAATACATGTCTTCAGCAAAAAGACATCAAAACATTCCCTCGGCCGATTCAGAGTAATGTAGCGGAACAAGGCTCACATTATAGTGTAAGATAAAATATTCAAATTGTGACTAGGCAAATTTTCGAATTCTCACGTTATCATTTTGTAAAATTGAAAGCTTATGGGCATTGGATCGGCTACAAAAACAGGGGAAAGTGTCTGCGAGTCGGAAGGTTAGGAAAGCCTGGACTGCTTATGACGAGTACTCTATAGCTATCTTAATGACTTCAAAAGTTTTTGCTCCTCTGTGGTAGGTAATTGCTAAGAATGACTGCATATTGTCAAGCGTTAAATAAAAATAAAACGGCAGTCATGGGCATCAAAAGGATTCAAGGATGAGAGGGGATCGACATTGATCAATGCTCAAACTTCAGACTCAAACTGCAGCCACTTGTCTTAATCCGCCGCAATGTCCCCAAACGATTTCGTGTTTATCAACAAAAAGGTGATATGTTTGCAGAACCCTGGTTAAGTTATCTCGGGCCAAAGAACACACCTCTTCAAAATCACTTTATTCACTTAGCAAAGTGAGTTTATAACTTATCGGCTGTCGTTTATAACGCCGAGACGGCAACTGGAATTTTATATAAAAATCACTAAGGTAAATAAACCTTCACTTACCTTCTCTCCGTACAATGAAATGGTACATAAGCGGGCACACAATCACGATAAACAGTATTAAGAATCTGTTCCTTTTAAGGACTGCCCAAATCATGTTTTTCACCCTGTCAAAGAGAGAGAAAATCGCTCGGTAGAGTAATCGACAACGCCGCCATGGAGTTCTTCAGTCTTTTGACTAATAGGGACAGTAGATGGTACCTTATATGAGGTATTTTACCTATCCAGCGCGTCGCGTCTTGTCTCGGTCTTGTCTCCTGATATTGACACAAACAGCCTATGATGATTGGTTGATACCAATGACCCCCCTCCCCGACCCCCCGACCCGCAACTCTGCAACCGAATTGGTATTGCAAGCTTATTCCCAGTCGTTCAAGGAGAGTTAGGGTCGATAAAAAATTCCTTCATTTTATTTAAATCAACTAGCACTCAGGTTCGACTCAGTTTTGGCAATAGAGAAATGACACTCATCTTCTCTTAATTTTGGTACCAGCGATATTTAGCTGGTCAAGCTATCATAAGATTGAAAAAAGAGACTTGTTTAACAGCAATCCCCTATTTGCATAAAATTACAGTTGAGTGTGGAACTGATTGAAGCACATTTACATATAGAATTTGAACAAAAATATAAAGCAGAAATCGAAGAGAGATGGCCGTCGGAGCAAGTGTCCGTCAGGCAATGCAAAGAACCGCCATAAAATGTGATGGTCGGTTGATAATATGATACTGATTTAAATTTTGATTCACCCAATGGTAATATTATGAAATGATTGACATCAGGCGCGTGATATGACCGGTCTAGCGAGACCTTTCCCCTGATCGATCCTTTGGAAGGGGTAAGGAGCAAATACCTCTTTCACTATAACGCTGGCCTTTGCCCAAACTCGAAATATAAGCATCGGCGAACATCGACATTGTTGCATAACATTCGAAATTTAAGGATTTGTATGGGAAAAAACCCGGAAAAAACCTATCGTTTCCGTAACCTACGAAAATGAAAGGATTTTAATACAAAACAGCTTACCTTACATAAAATGTGTTTTACGTCTCTCCTGTGTGGTCCACGGGTCGATTTATGGCCGTTTTATGGGTGGTACTGTAAACGGTTTTCTCTCTATGTAAAGGTTTATATTTTTTATATTACTATACAGCCCATAAAACGGCCATAAGTCGACCCATGGACCACCCAGGAGAGACATAAAACACATTTTATGTAAGGTAAGCTGTTTTGTATTGAAAGCCTTTCATTTTCGTAGGTTACGGCGGAAACGATAGGTTTTTTTCCCAACAACGCCGATTTTTCGCCAATGCTCATATTTCGAGCTTGGGCTACCTGTGGTTGTAGTAGTCGAAATATTAACCAGAACAAGACTGACAAGAAGTACCGGGCTGATCTCGATTGTGTTGTTCCCTTTTCTCAAAGCTTTTATTTAAGCCAAGCGCAGCCTTACATGATTGGCATGTCTTTGGTGATGCGTGGCTAGAAAATTAAAATGAAAAATGGTGAATAATGTCCAGTCACATTAATTTCTCTCAGTCATGTTAGATACTCATTTCCGTATATTCATGGTCCTCGCACACATGAACACGCCTGGTACTTATGTCCTTTAAGCTCTTATATCTAGTGTGTGGGCTTCCGTTGTGGGTTAATCAACGCACACGAAGTTTTCTGTCAACATCAAGAGGCTGAGTTTCACTACGCAAATTTAGTCTCCAAGACCTTATTCATTTTCCCAAAAAAGACATTACAGCTTATCGTTAGTTTTGTTTTGTTTTTACTGACCACTCAAGTTGGTTTAGAAAAAAATTTCAAGAAAAGACCAAGAAACGAAACACAACATTTCGTAAAAATTGCTTCGCAACACAGTGCAGTGCAGGAAATAAAATTATTCAAAGTTATTACTACATAGCTTACCTCCGACACGAAGCCACTTCGTTTTGGACCACAAAAAATGTATTTGAAACTGTAAATAATAATTCTGTTCGTTTTTAAATCTGTGCAACGTACACTCGCTTAAAGTAATAAAACCGGCAAATGTTCTTTTCTCGCCGTAGGATTGCATCTACTTACTTCTTTCCTCTCCCCCACTCCCTTGCGCAAGCGGTCAACAAATGTCCCGTGGTTTTTATTCATAAACGGGCCAGCTAGACAATCTCTAAAGATAGCTTAGAGGGCCAGTGAACAGCAAGAGAGAATGATGAACGGGTTATTAAAGTACCATCTGATCACACACAGCTTTAGTGGCAAACAAATATACGCGGACAAGAGAAAATGAGGCGGAAGAGATCAATAGGAGATGACAGCATATACGCGCATTACGTTGACATAAAATTTTAATATAAATGAGTCAAATCAAGAGAACTTAAAAAGGCTCCCTTTTATGTTATCTTGATAAAGTGGTTAATTTTCATTTGTCAGGAATTTTGTGATTTCATTACAAATTTATTTAGATAAAATTTCTGTTACATTTTGTGAAAAGAAAATCATTTCCTTTTCATCTTTTTCAGTTTTGAATGGTAATTAATTCGCAGTCTTTGAAAATCAACTCTGAAACTGACGGCGTTGCCAGAGAAACTTGAATTTGGCCCGAAAGTGCGTACTAAAGGAGAGCGGATAAGAGCGAGAAAAATTCTCGGCCACAATCTAGATCATTGCAGTATCATGATGTCTGAATGTTATTAGAGAGATTTTAATATAGTGACGTTCCGGCAAACGTCAGATTCAAGCTGAGAATTTCTCAAAATAGAAAACGTGCAGCTCGAAACAGTCCAAAACAATTGCTATGGACGTGTATGCAGCTATTTTGCAAAGGCCCGCCTCTTAATTCCCCTACGCTTAAGTTGCTCATCTGAAACAATGTCACACTGTTTAGCATGTTTAGTAAGACACAGCATGTATGTCGGCATGACAATAGTGTGATTATCCCTGTGAATCCCCTCCTTCCTTTGAAAAATTCCCAAGTTACAGTTGGAACCTTCTGTTAGCATCATTAATTGCTTAAAAACTTGCCTTGAAGCCATCAAATGATGCCAAATAAGTAGCAATAGTAGTTAAGGTAACCTTGACGTTTTCCAAAGAACTGTTAATGTAAACCTTGAACATCTATTTAGGAAATAAAAGCACCCGTCAATCAAAGACTAGCTCAAAATAGCCCTTGCGATGGGTTAAAGAGCAATTGTTTGCGCCAGACCACAAGATTAAAATAAAGGTGATTGGATAGTCTGATCTGGGCGAAGGGCAGCGCAAAGCTGCTATGTATTTCCCGCCATTTAATTCCTTAACCCCTGTCAAGGTTGTTCTTAGATTTTTCGAAAAGCGAGACAAAACCCACGCACTGTGTAGTTTATCTGCCTATGTAAAGGAATCAGGATTCAGGAATCTGGGATCTGGGAAAGTTTTGCTAGTGGAACCCGAAATCTGGGAAAATATTGCTTGTAAAATCAGGAATCCCACTAACGAATGGAATCCAGTACCTGGAATCAGGAATCCAAGTCTTGGCATCCAGAATCCAAGACTGTCTTGGATTGATTTCCCTTGCATGGAGCGAAGTTTAGTACAGACCTCCTTTCTTGCAAATGTTTACCCCGGACTGGCAGCAGAACATAAAACGGTGAATCTGATATAGAATTATGTAACATCAGCAACGACAACTGTAATGCTGTACGTTATACTGACTTCTAGGTTTGTAATAGAAATGCTTATTTTAAAAGAAAACTTCCACTTTATTTGACAAGTAGTAGCTCTGAATAAACTTGTTGTTTAATTGGGCTATCAATTCAAAGCTACCTGCGAACCTGAATCAGGAATATAAAGAGATCCGCCGCATCCACGATGTTGCATTAAGCTAAGTTTTTGAACGTGAACTTGTAGGGACTTTAAGATCCAACGACGCGGACGGCAGCGAGAACGTNGTTTTGAATGGTAATTAATTCGCAGTCTTTGAAAATCAACTCTGAAACTGACGGCGTTGCCAGAGAAACTTGAATTTGGCCCGAAAGTGCGTACTAAAGGAGAGCGGATAAGAGCGAGAAAAATTCTCGGCCACAATCAAGATCATTGCAGTATCATGATGTCTGAATGTTATTAGAGAGATTTTAATATAGTGACGTTCCGGCAAACGTCAGATTCAAGCTGAGAATTTCTCAAAATAGAAAACGTGCAGCTCGAAACAGTCCAAAACAATTGCTATGGACGTGTATGCAGCTATTTTGCAAAGGCCCGCCTCTTAATTCCCCTACGCTTAAGTTGCTCATCTGAAACAATGTCACACTGTTCAGCATGTTTAGTAAGACACAGCATGTATGTCGGCATGACAATAGTGTAATTATCCCTGTGAATCCCCTCCTTCCTTTGAAAAATTCCCAAGTTACACCCCTAAAATAACAGAAACGTTTTCCCTCAGAGCAATGCGGTTGGAACCTTCTGTTAGCATCATTAATTGCTTAAAAACTTGCCTTGAAGCCATCAAATGATGCCAAATAAGTAGCAATAGTAGTTAAGGTAACCTTGACGTTTTCCAAAGAACTGTTAATGTAAACCTTGAACATCTATTTAGGAAATAAAAGCACCCGTCAATCAAAGACTAGCTCAAAATAGCCCTTGCGATGGGTTAAAGAGCAATTGTTTGCGCCAGACCACAAGATTAAAATAAAGGTGATTGGATAGTCTGATCTGGGCGAAGGGCAGCGCAAAGCTGCTATGTATTTCCCGCCATTTAATTCCTTAACCCCTGTCAAGGTTGTTCTTAGATTTTTCGAAAAGCGAGACAAAACCCACGCACTGTGTAGTTTATCTGCCTATGTAAAGGAATCAGGATTCAGGAATCTGGGATCTGGGAAAGTTTTGCTATTGGAACCCGAAATCTGGGAAAATATTGCTTGTAAAATCAGGAATCCCACTAACGAATGGAATCCAGTACCTGGAATCAGGAATCCAAGTCTTGGCATCCAGAATCCAAGACTGTCTTGGATTGATTTCCCTTGCATGGAGCGAAGTTTAGTACAGACCTCCTTTCTTGCAAATGTTTACCCCGGACTGGCAGCAGAACATAAAACGGTGAATCTGATATAGAATTATGTAACATCAGCAACGACAAC